GCCCTGTGAGCTATGGGACTCCGCTCTCCACTGTGAACTTCACGGAGCTGTCGCGACGAGCAGGCCAGGCCCTGGACAAGAAACACTTGGAAGAAAATAAAATAGGCGAGAGGGAGATAGAAGGGGCCTGCGTGAGGGAAATCAAGGGACCTGACTTTAGCCTCTATGTTTTTAAGGACATTGGTTTGACTCCTGTATTAAAGGGAATGAGGAAAAAATAGTGTTTTTAATAAAGCAGAACTTAATTCTGTCTCGTGTAAAAGTATACTTGGCAGTTAAGCCTGGCATGGCGGCTTCATCGGTCACAAGAGACCTGAGTTCCTTCTATCTTATTGCTCTGCCATCCTCCTTTTTGTGGTCCAAGACCTCCAGCCCTTGTGGCTACATTGCAGTCAGCAGGAGGAGGATGGGGCCAGAGGCAGGGATCCTCTTCCTTCCTTTTAAGGGCACAATCCAGAAATTGCACAAATCCCTTCCATTTGTATCCCATTGGCCAGGATTTAACCACATGACCACACTTACCTGCTAGGCAAACTGGGACCGTGTCTTTTCCTATGAATGACCAGGAGAAAGGATATCAAGGGACAAGCGATTTTTGCTGGATTGCTTGGGCAACTCATATCTCCATCTGGGCCACAGTTTCTTCCTTTGCAAATCCCTTCATTCTTTCACTCATGGATTCATTCTACATACACTAGTATATGTGCCGGGTTTGTGTTACAAAGTACTAGTTTGAACCACTTGACTGCTCATGGATCCTCCTACCAGCTGGGCCATAATCCAGGAGGTCAGTTGTGAGGTTCTTCCTTGCTCACCGTTATGCCCCATAATCCTTGTGCCCCCAGCATCAGTGCAGGGTCTGACACACGGAAGCCATATTATTAGCTGCCCATGAGTAATGCATAGATGGGATTCTGTCTTTTGTATTTGGTGAAGACATTTTTCCTTGCTCAGAGTCTAAGTTCCTTCCCATTCCAGACCTCCTGGCTCCACTTTCCCTTATCCCCACATGCCACGCCTTTCTAAGCTTATGAAGTAAAATGGGCCAGAATCCCAAGAATAAAAATAAATGAAAGTTCATCAAAACAAGCTAACCATGAGAAATGGCTTTCCAGGTGGTTAGGTGTCAGCATTGGAGGCCAAGGACAGAGCACCAAACTCCAAATGCCATGCACTCCTATCAGCCCTCCACTGTGTTGGGCAGAGATTCCGCTGGGTCTGCCCAGCAGCTCAGCAGGTGGCTGGCTCGAGCCCTGCCTGACACTCCATCACTTTAAAACAACAGGCAAGACCTTCCACACAGGTCAGGGAGAACAGTTCTAATTCCAGCCCTGTGGGGTGGTCCTGAGAAATCCATGCCTCTTTGTCCTGTGTTGTTTTGTTTTGTTTTTACAGTCCTTATCGGAGGAGTGAAGATATTTTTTCCACTGATTTTTAGAGAGAGTGGAAGTGAGGGGGAGGAGAAGAGAGAGTGAGAGAAACATCAATGTGAGAGAGACATATTAACTGGTTCCCTCCTGCTCGTGTCCTGACCAGGGGCAGGGATTGAACCTGCAACCAAGGTATGTGCCCTTGACTAGAAATTGAACTGGCGACGCTTCGATCTCAGGCAGACGTTCTAAGCACTGAGTGACACCGGCCAGGGCCGGGGCCTCTTTGAATGTCAGTTTCCTCATCTAAAAAAAGGGGCGAATAGTAGGATCTATCTGTAATCAGCTATCAAATGCAGGTAACAATCGTGCCTCCCTCGTAAGCAGAGGTTCCTAAACTTCCTCAGATCACAGCACCCTTAGCATGTCAGTAATTTTTTCACAGTGGGCCAGGCCCAAAGAAATACCTAACAGTTATTAAGCAATTCGTTTTAAACAACTTAATAATTATAGTTTACACAGTGCCCAACAGAGGTTAGTGTGTGTGTGTGTGCGCGCGCGTTAATTTTTTAAATACTTTGCAGTGCATCTGTGAGATTTCTGCCATACTTCAGGGTGCCTCGGCACATAGTTTGGGAATCAAAGCTAGAGGTTTTGAAGATGAAATGAAGTTACGGATGGCAAGGGTTTAGCATGACACCTGGTGTGGAGTAGATCAGTAAATGTTGATAGTCCTACACTATCCTTCAGTTCTCTCGTTCTTTCTGGGTCTCCTGCCATGGCCACACAGCCATACTTTCTATCTCTGGCACCCAACTCCGGCTGGTTTCTGCTTGCCGCCTTTCCCCTGGGCCCCTCCAGGCCTCTGGCCCCACTTCTGAACTAACTTCCTTCCTGGTCCCACTTCCTCACCCCTCCCAGACCCCATACACTTGGCATGCCCTGTTCCTGGTTGGAGTGCACATCCCTGCCCCTTAACCTTGGACTTGGCCAAGGGACTCACTTTGCCCAGTGGAATGTGGTGAAAGTGTCCGTTCTGAGCTTAGGCTCTAAGAGGCCTCACGGGGTTCCACTTGCTCTCTTATCCTTCGCCATTGAGAAGGGAAGAACGCCTCACCCTCCCCCCTCACGCCCACTACTGTGGCCCAGTGATTCGAGGAGGAGGACAAGAGACCCATGAAGCAGGCTCCCATCTGCAGATCTTAAGTCTGATGAAGCCCACTCCCAACCCACCAACTCCAAGGTGGAAATAAACAATTGTTATTTGAAAGCGTGGAGTTTTGGAGAGCTTTGTGGCACAGTGTCCTTGTGACAATCCAGCCTCTGTACCCAGTCCCTACAGCCGAACTTGGCTCGCAGTAGGCACTCAGTAAGTGATTGTTGAAAGAGAGAATTAAAGAGTATCCACTTCAGCCCTTGCCAGTGTGGCTCAGTGGATAGTACGTCAGCCTGTGGACTGAAGGGTCCCGGGTTCGATTCTGGTCAAGGGCACATACCTAGGTTGTAGGCTCGATCCCTGGCCCTGGTTGGGGTACGTGCTGGAGGAAACCAATGTGTCTCTCTCACATGGATGTTTCTCTCTCTCTGTTATTCCCCCTCCCTTCCACTCTCTGTAAAATTCAATGGAAAAAATCCTTGGGTGAAGATTAACAACAACAAAAAAGAATATCCGCTTCATAGAATGCTGTGAAGAATAAATGTGGTGTCAGTTAGAAATGTGTTTTCCCAAATAAAACTGGGGTTCACTGTCTCACAGAACAGGCAGATGCTATTTGTGATTCTGCGACTCGGCGATTGCAAAGCCTAGGCAGTTTTCTCATCCTTTGTCTTAGGGTTGTAAGATGGTTACTGTAGCTCCAGGCATCACACCACATTCAAGGCAGAAAGATGGAGAAGAAAGTAGGAATAGAGAGGAGCATCGTTGACATTTTCCCTTTTGTCAGCTAGATAAAAGTGTTCCTGGAAGTCTGAAAGCAAATTTCTGTTTTGATCTCATTTGCTAGAAATGGGACACCTGGGCATCCCAGAAGCAGGGGGACTTGGAGGATGAACATTCCCCTTTGTCTATACGCTATGGAAGGGAGGGAGGGGGCTGGGGACACAGAAGGAATAGATGGGGTATTTGCCCCAAGTGAGATTTTATCCTATCTAATAAAGAGGGAATATGCTAATTGACCATCAAGCTCACAAAGATGGCAGTGCCCACGGTCTGTAAATAAGGAATATGCTAATTGACTGTCGTGCCCTCAAAAATAGTGGCATCCACAGCCACAAGATGGCAGCACCCAGTCCCCTCAGCCCCGCAGCTACCCAGGGTCGGCCTGAGGTACAGGGAAGCCTTGGATGGTGGTTGCCCAGCTGCCCAGGGCTGCCTGAAGCTCAGGTAACCAGGGGGAGGCCAGGCTGAGGGACCCCCGCCCCTTCAGTGCATGAATTTTCATGCACCAGGCCTCTAGTATATAAATAATAGAAATACATGTTTTATAGAGGAAAACTATATCTACCAATCTATCTATCTATCTATCTATCTATCTATCTATCTATCTATCTACCTATTTATCTATTTATCTATAAGCGTAAGCGACCATTACTAATGAACAACCTAAACGACTGGAACGACCAATTGACCAGTCGCTATGACACGCACTGACCAGGGGGAAGATGCTCAATGCAGGAAATGCCCCCTGGTGGTCAGTGTGCTCTTGCAGCCAATGCCCCAGGGCCAGCTAATCGCCCATGGTCCCTCCCCCAACTGGTCAGTCCCCATCAGCCCCTGGTGCTAAACAATTTGTCGACAACTTGCTACTAGGTCAGGGTTTTGTATGTAGCTGAGCAGCTCCCTCGCTATGATCTATTGAAAGTCAGTTCACAACACAAGGGTTTGTCTCGCTCCCATCCTCTCCCTTCCCCAGGGACCGCCCGCCCACCGTGGTGGCAGTATGGCAACAAGAGAAGGAGGGTGGGGGGTGGGGGGGAAGGAGGTAGGGAACTGTGCGGTGGTAGAGCACCAATGGCAGAATCAGCATCTGGCATCAATTTCTTCCACACCCAGTCCAGAGACCATCACCTCCTCTCCTGACCCCGTCGGGACCTTTGGGCCCCGGGCTGGAATGGGGAACCAGGGGTGGGTGGCAGCAGACACAGCCCTTTCCCAGGGGGGTGCCGAGGGCTGGCTCCCTCCTCAGGGCCAGTGGTCATCCTCCTGTGGTCCCTCTCCCGGGCTGGCTAACCCCTAGGAGTTCCTTGCCCTGCCGGCAGGCCCCAATCAGCCCAGCCCTGATCAGCCCTGATCACCCACTGGGTCAAGGGTCCCCACCCATGCACAAATTTGTGGGCCAGGCCTCTAGTAGAAATACAGTATATGTCACTTAGAGCCCTCAGGAGAGGACACCTATTCTCATAACAATTGTTTTCATCATGTAAAGCTTTTAGGTCTCTGTAATCCTATTGGCATTAGGTCTTGGATTTTGGAACTTGCAGGCATGGAGGCACCATTATGCCAATGGTCTCCCTCTTGCCCCCCCTTCCTTTTCTCTTTAGAGCACTGAAACCCTTTAAAAAAAAAAAAAAAAAAAAAAAAAAAAAAAAAAAAAAAAAAAAAAAAAAAACCTACATTTTCCAATGTGAGCCACTTCCTGATCTCATTAAGTTCATCCTCAGTGATTTGGCCAGACTCTGCTTCCAGCCTGAAGCAGCCAGGAGATTGTGTAAGTCAACAGTCCGTCAGGCCCATCACCAGGCCAACGTCAAGGTCTCTCCCAAGGACACCGAGATGAAAACAGCAGAAGAGCCAGCCCGGAGGCTTGAGCAGACCCTGGAGGGGCTGAGGAAGGAATTGGTAAGGCTTTGCATTTCTTTTTATCTGACGCTGCCACCCCACATATTCCAGGGTGTGCTGGTCCCCCTTCCCAGGTGCCCCATTAGCTGGGACAGAGGCTGCAGACTGGGGTGTAGGCCCTGCAGGCAGCCCTCTGGGACCAGCCACGCAGTGCACAGTCGCCACCTCAGGTACAGGGATAAGTAGGTCGTGGCCTACATAGGAGGCTCTGGGTGCACTGCGTGCCAGACCAGCTTCAGAAATTACACTGAGTCCTGGGTATGTGCCCAGCTCTGCGGCTGTGTGGCTTCTACCAAGTGGCTTTACCTCTTTGAGCCTCAGTTTCCTTATCATAAGATGGGGATAACAGTTGTACCCAGACTGCAGGGGTTACTGAAAGGATTCGGTGAGAAGATAGTGTAATTCGCTCGGTGTCTGCTCGGCACATCGGCCACCATCCTGACCCAGGTGGCTGGAGCACAGCGGCATCTTAGCCTCGATGTACTGTATGTCCACCTGGGGAGAGGCTCGCACAAGGATTGGGGTGGTAACGATTCATTTTGGAGGTAAAAGCTCAGAGCAGTGAGGGTGAGAAAATGGGGAGTGAGGGTCAAGGGCACATGCCCAGGTTGTGGGCTCCATTCCCAGTGAGGGACTTGCAGAAGGCAGCCAATGCATGATTCTCTCTCATCATGGACTAGAGCCTGGTGCATGAAAATTCATGCACTGGAGGGGGTGTTCTTCAGCCCAGGCTTCCCCCCTCTCACAGTCCAGGAACCCTCAGGGGAGGGAAGCGACTCTGTAATCAGGGGAAGGCAACACCCCCATCACACCTCTGCTGCTGCCACTGCCGGTAGCGCAAGCCTCAGTTGCCTGAGCCATAGGTGGCCCTGGGCAGCTGGAGGGCTGAGGGGACTGGCCGCCACCATCTTGTAGCTGTGGGCGCTGCCTTTTTTCAAAGTGTGACAGTCAATTAGCATATTCACTCTTTATTAGCTATGAGCACCACCATTTTTGAGGGTGAGGCACTCAATTAGCATATTCCCTTCTTATTGGCTGTAGGTGCTGCCATCTTTGCAACAGCATGAGGGTCAATTAGCATATTCCCTCTTTATTAGATAGGGTGTTTCTCTCCCTCTTCCTTCCTCTCTGAAATCAATAAAAAAATTTTTTTTTTTTAATGTGTGGGATGAAAATCCTAAAACTGAGGAAGCACAGATAATGTTTTCCCAGGAATTAGGAAAGGGTGGCTGTGTGTTCTCAGTGGTTTCCTCTTTCTAGCTCTCTACTCTCTTGGTGTTATTACTCCTGCCTGCAGGGTGTACTTCACTTTAATATGAAGTCACTATCACCTTTATGCCTATAAAATGATGTGTTAGTGAGGGTTATGACATGTAAATTGGGGTTGTCAATAAGAAGAATCATATTTAATGTTGATGATGATGATGATAATGAAGATCATCACAGATCTTGGTAGTTCAGTATGTCCTATTTTAGAGTGGGAACTAATTCATTCCATCCTCATCATGTTACTGGACCAAAGTCTATGTGCCCAATGGTTCAAAAAGCCAAAACTCAAAATGTCGGGGTTTGGAAGAAGGAAAGGTTTGATTGATCAAGAAGGCACCCACTGAGAAGATGGGAGATCTAGTGGTGCCTCAGATCCATCTTGCCCACTGGACTAGGCCCAGGGCTTCTAAGGGGCCCTGAGGAAGTGCTGGTGCTGGTGGGGCACGTCTTAATTAGAGGACCTCGGAACCCGGCCATCGATGGTAAAAAGACATCAACACTGGATCTTCCTGGACAATAGAACCTTGGCTTCTGAAAGGATTACAGTGTTCAAGTTTCTATTATGTCCTCTTCCGGTGGTTCTGTGAGGTGCGGGCTAGGGCATGGGAGGTGGAGGATGTGGGTGGGGGGCGAGCCGGGTGTGGTGAGACTTTGGTTCTGGGTGCAGCTGGAGGCCAAAGTTCTCTCCTCTGAGCTATACTCTGGCTGCATGATTGTGGTCTGGGTCTGCTGTGTCTGAAAAGCAGCTCAGTACCTCTTTGCAGTGTAGGACCATTCTGAGCTGGTTACAGTAAGAGCCTCAGGAGGTAGGTGATTTGCTTTCCACTTTGCAGATAAAGAAACTGAGGCTTTGGTGCAAATGGTTTCTTTGAGCTTGTGGGCTTGTCTCCGATGAGACAGAAATGAGAACAGGCTTTCTGGGGGGATGCCCGGTGCACTGCCCCCTTGCACACCTGTTCTCTCTCTCTCTTAGGCTGAGATGCAGATCCAAGACCAGAAGCTCCTGCTCACCCTGCGGCATCTTCGCAGTGTCCTGGAGGAGCTGCGTTCCGAGAGTTCCTCCTGGGAGGACGCCATGTCCAGCAGAGGGACATCGCCCATCAGAGCTCGAGCAGGCTCCGAAGGCCGGGGTCAGCAGCCCATGGCATCCAGGCGGCTGGCCCAGCTCCTCCACGGGGCAGATGGCCGACGAAGCTCCCTCCCTTAACTGGTCAGAGATGACCCTGGGCTTGAACCTCCCACCACTAATCTAAGTTTTGTGATGCTGTTGGGGTGGGGAACACTAGGATGGGAGTCTGGAAGTCCCTAGGTTCGCCTCTGTCCTCATCCGCTAAATGTCCCTCGACTTCTCTGTGTCACTCGTTATTTCTCTGTCAGATATCAGCATTTTTGATGAGGCACAAATAAGGTTTTGGATGTGAACATGCTGTGACAAACACGAATATGTTACATGGTTCTGGAAAGCACCATGAAGTAATCCTATCCTTGGGAATTTCTCAAAAAGTAATTGTTAGAACAAAGAGATCAATGTGCAAGGAAGTTTATCTAGTCTTGCCAAGGTGAAAAACAGAAGCCTGTGTAACGCTTGATGGTTGTTTTCTGTCTTCCAACAGGACTTTTCATTCCCCTTTATCTGAAAGCAACAGATGCTTGTCACCATCTGGCTATAGGGATGGACATGTGATCAGGCCTGCCCAATTATAATGCACAAGAAGCCCGATGCATGAAGATACGTGCTAGAATGGGCTTTCCTATCCCTGGCTGCAGGCACTCTCTTTCCACTCTGGCCCAGCCCCTTTATGCTCAGGCCCTGGAGTCCCTCTTTCCCCTCCAGGAGTTGCCTCTTTCCACTCCAGCCCCACCTTCCCATGTCGCCCAGAGGCTCTGAAAGGTGGGGGTGAAGGGGTGGAGGGTAGGACAGAACACCAGTCCCATCACTCAGCGCCTGTGTATGCAAATTAACTGCCAACTATGTTGGGTTAATTTGCATATCACTCCTGATTGGCTGATGGCGTAGCGGAGGTATAGTCAGTGTACATGTTTGTCTATTATCAGCTAAGATGGTCATTCTAACAACAAGATTGGCTAAGTGGGTTGGCTGAGTGGGTCAGCACAGCCAATCACAACCCTTCTCTGGGATTATGAGCTGGATGCTTGTTCTATTGCAGTTGCAAAGCTGGGGCTGCCAGAGGCCATGTAACCTGCCAGGTGAAGAAGTCCTGTCTGTGCTTGGAAAGAAAGGCTAATCTTAAAAGAGAAGTAGAGAGAGGACCATGCAAGAGATAGACTGAGAGGTAGAGTGCTTGCTCTTTTTAAGAAGTCCCTGGTTTCAGGTCCCAGTTCAATGAGTTATTCCTGCATTCTTTCCAGTGACTGAAGCCAGTGAATTCCACCACCACCACACACACCAATTTGTTTTTGCTTAAGCAGCTTTGAGTAGGGTTTCCCTCATTTGCAATCAAAACAGTCCTAAAGAATATAATCCAGATGTTCATAGAAGCAAAGGAGGGGAGTGATGAAGAAAACAGCATTTCACTCACTCAGGGTTGGCAATAACAACCCTGTAATAGCAGGCAACAAGGTTTATGATGTGGCAGAACATTCAGTGGCATGGGGTGCTGAAGTTATAACTTTGAAAAAAATAGAGGAGGTGAAAATAAAAAGTCCTGTTGTTACTGTTGCTACAGTGGTCTAATTATTGGTAGGCCTTTTTATTTTTTAAAATCAACTTGCATGTTGTTAGAATATTGTTTTTATGGTTTTGAAAAAGTAAACCCATTGCATACAAGCACAAAGTATGGGGGACTTGCATTATATGTACAATGTGTTCAGCCATACTAATCTGAGATTTTTTAAATGTAATAGTTGATAATATAAAAATACTTCTCTATTGACAGCTAAATGGATAAGCAAAATGTGATATATACATAAAGTGGAATTTCATTCAGCCTTCAAAAGGAAGGAAATGCTGGCATGGATGAACTTCAAAGACATCATGCTGAGTGAAATAAGCCGGTCAGTCACAAAAGGACAAATATTGTGTGATTCCGTTTGTATGAGGCATCTACAGTAGTCAAGTCCATAAAGATGCAAAGCAGAATAGTGGTTTCTAGAAGCTTGGCGCATGAGAGTGGGGAGTTTAATGGGTACTGAGTTTCAGGTTTGCAAGATGAAAAACATACTGGATGGATGGTGTGATGGTGGCATAACAATGTGAATGAACTTGATGCCACTGAACTATACACTTATAATGTTAAAATGGCAACATTTCTGTCCTATTTTTAATATAACACAATTAAAAATAAATACTTTAAAAAACTGCGCTGTGATGCTGGGCCAGGCCTGGGGCTCAGGCTTCACGAACCACATTTATGTTACCAGTGCCCCATGTTAGGGTTTGTTAGACTTTGCCAATAATCAGGGTGGGGCTAGATGGACACCCCAAGGCTGGAGGAGGGAGAAAGAACTCGCTTCTTCATCTTTGTTCTCTGTCGCTTCCTGTTCCTATGAGCAGCAGCACCTAGCTCCTGGGGTGGGCTCCTGGATATAGACTGATACCTCACCTCAAGGCAGCAATTTCTCCCTCTGGCACCAGCCAGCACCTTCTTGTCAAGGTTATAGGTCCCAGACCCCATGGGCATCCTCCAGATGCCAAGCTAGGAAGATATATTTGGAGAGTCACACACTGGCTCCATGACACTTGAAACAGGAAGTGGTATAGATCCCTTTCTCCCATTCGATAGAATAAGTCACATGATCTGTCCCAGGAAGCGGCTGGGAAGTGTGGGTAACAGAGGGAGAGTCTGGTGAGCACCAGGGTGTCAGGCACATGCTCCAGTCTCTCTCAGCTTCCTGTGCTCAGAGCACTGGGAGCGTCTCTTGTTCTAACATTTGTTTGATCCTGACACAGGCTCCTACAACCCTTTGAATTCCTAATCATATTGATTCCGGGTTGGCTCCTGGATATGGACTGATCACCAGAAAGACCAAGCCATGGTTGGAAACTTGGAGTTTCCATCCCCATCCCCCATCCTTCAGAGAAGAGAGAGAGTCAGGAAATGGTGGTACTAATTGTTCATGCCTATATGAGGAAGACTCCATAAATCCCACTAGTAGGAAACTTGGGGAGCTTCTAGTTTGGAGCATCCACATAGCAGGAAGATGTAGATGCTTTCCCACAGTGGGGACCCTCCCAGACCTTGCCCTGTGTATCTCTATCTGGCTGTTCCTCAGTCTCCTTTCATAAACTGCTAAAGGTCAGCAAGTGCTTCCCTGTGTTCTGTGAGCCATTCCAGCAAATTAACTGAATCAAGAAGGGGACCATGGGAACCTCCAGTTTGTAGCCAAGTTGGGTGGAAGTTGTGAGTAACCTGGGGACCTACCACTTCTGATTGGCTTCTGAGGTGGGGTGGGAGCCATCTTGTGGGACTGAGCCCTTCATCTGTGAGATCTCCAGGTAGACAGTGTCAGACTGTGTTAAATTGTGGGACACCCAGCTGTTGTCATGGCGAATTGCTTGGAAGTGTTCTGTGTAAAAAGTAAAAGGAAAACACACAGGAGATGGAGAACGGGTTTTTTTCCCTACTCAGGAGGGAAAGGCTAGGTTTTTCTATTCAGGCCTAAAAAGCAAAGGCCAAGGAAGCAAAAGCAGGGCTACTGAGAGCAAATTAAACTGACAATTTAAAGTTTGGTGTTTGACGAAGGTTTTTGTGTCCCTCTACCAAGAGCTATCAGACTAAGGTAACTACTGTGTGGATGAGCGCCACCTGCCGTCCATGCACCGTCATTCTTCCGGGAACCTGCCTGCTCTGGATTGTACAATAGGACTGGCTCCTTCACCATGTGCTTTCTTATTGTGGGTCATCTTAAGGCTAGGGCCAAGGAGGATAAGCTTCCTGGCTCTTGAGATCTGGGCTTGAGTTTCAGCTCTGCCCCCGAGTCACCTGGGGCAAGTCACTTTTCCTCTGAGCCTCCATTTAACCTTAAATTTTAAATGAAAATGACACCTCTTAGATCTGTGAAGGGGATCTTGGGGAAATGCTTTGTAAACTGGAAATAACTGGAGGCAATGGAAAGAAGCCTGGTCTGCAGTTGAACAGGCCTGGATCTATTTTTTAAAATACTTATTGTGTACCAGCTGTATGCCAGCCACTCTTCTGCATGTGGTAAGGTAGCAATGAATCAAGCAGACAAAATTCATGTTTTTATGTAGTTAAGATCCTAGCACTCCAGTTTCTGAGTCATTCATTCATTCATCTAAAATATTTTCCTGATACTACTATGTGTTGCACTTCCCTATGCAGTGGGCAGGGAGGGATTCCAATATGGCTAGAGCACAGGGAGCAAAAGGGACAGGGTTGAAACAGGTTTTATGGGGCTTAAAGCTTTTAAAGTTTAGGGTATTCTTTTCTTAAAGAGAAAGAATACAAAGTCATAAATACCGAATTGGATTAGCAAATAATTTTTTTTAGAATAACAGAAGAAATAATAACAAATTACAAAATTTAAAAAGCTGATAAATATTACAAACATTATACAATCTAGAGCCAACATATTCTTACTAATTAGCTGCATGACATAGCTCTTTAATAAATTTTCCCTACTTTTTTTCTGTATATTCTTCGATAATCTAGTCATAAGACAATGATTATGTTGTTAATCCTCACCTGAGGATATTTTTTCCATTGATTTTTAGAGAGAGTGGAAGGGAGGGAGGGAAGGAGACTGGAGGGGAGAGAGAAACATCGATGTGAGAGAGGCATATCAATTGGTTGTCTCCCACATGCGGCCCTGCTGGGGATCAAACCTGCAACCCAGGTATGTGCCCTTAACCAGAAATCAAACCCCCGGCCCTTTGGTATGAAGGCCAATGGTCTAACCATTGACCATACCAGCAGGAGCTGATTTTGTTGTCTTTTATAAATATACTGGAGACCCATACATGGGGTCCCTCAGCTTGGCCTGCACCCTCTCGCAATCCAGGACCCTTCAGGGGATGTCAGAGCGCCAGCTTCGGCCCAATCTCTGCAGGTCAGAGATTGTGAGGTTGTTTAAAGGGTAAATGAGACATCCTATCAACAAGGAACCTTTACCAATAGTCTATATATTAAATGCCATAGCCATTCCAATAGTTATTAGTATTTACTATGAAGCTCAAGGGAGGAAGGCAACTTTGGATCCTTATGGTCTAGTATGATTTTTTCTTACATTCTAGCAATTGGCTTTAACTGTTGAAAACTGATATTCCAGGCAGAAAATGTTTAATTAAAAATATTTGTATTGATTTTACAGAGGAAGGGAGAGGGAGAGAGAGAAACATCAGTGATGAAAGAGAATCATTGATTGGTCAGC